GTTCACGTAGACTTTTACTCCTGCTGATGGTAGCGGAAGCTACCGAAACATGTCATTTTAAATTTTGATTAAAATAAACGTTGTTTTGTCTGTATTTAAAAAAAATATAATTCACGATGTCAGAAAAACACGTAGGCTCAAGAAATCTTGATGGAAGATGATAAAAACCCTATAACCGGAGCGCTTTCGAAAGGCGGACCTTTCTTCTTCACAGGCAATATAAGGGAAGGAACTTTTCATATCCTAAGATAACCTATCATAGATCATGAATTTACATAACTTCCGTCCAGGGGACGGGTACTCCGGCTAGCTTTTTTGTTTTTTTTAATATAATATGAACTTTCTAAACACGTGCATTAATGTTCGATTGACAGTGTTCCAATTTAGATTTAACTGGATTAGTGAACGTGTACGATATCGATAGCTCTTGACGAAGCTGTAATAGCGAAATATTGAGCTAATAAAGTTACATTTTGTATTCAGATACAACATATAGACTGGGTGTATGCATTACAAAGTTTATTGTTTCACAACTCTTTCCACAAAATACAGAAATTGTCAAAAATAAAATTTTTACACAACCTAACCCACCAGTTAGAAAAGGTCACTAAAGAAACGTGACAAGATAAATATATATATACTAAATCAAGAAAAAAAAAAAACAACGAATTTTTTTCCCATAATTAAAACCAAAATGTCACAATTTCTTGCTGTTGGTGTTACCATCAGTAGTTACTTACATTGAAACCGAACATCAAATACTATTTTCAATTTAAGAAGGTTAATAATACATAAACAATCGACGATTTATGTAATTATATTGTTGAGACTTGGTTTAAACACTTCATTTCTGAACCATTTTAATCTTTTTAACGTGTAGCTTCTTCATGGCGGTAGGAAATTTAAAATTTTATTTTCTGAACAAATTATTGAGGTAATTGTAAAAGAATAATTTCTTGTAAATTCAAACCGAATACGAGTAGAAGAATAATGCAGAGCTCTCAACCAGTATTTCATGATATGATAACCATACAACTCAAGAAATAAATGAAAAATTATATTTATATTATATATAGTCTTCCCATATGATAGGAAAAAGTCTAAATCTCAGATCACGATAAAGTGTTATTATGTTATAAAATATTTGGTATATTATACAGTGAAACCAATAGAGTATAGTATAAAATACAGCAATAAAGTCCACAATTATACACAAATAACTGATTTCTAACTAAAATTACAATATGTATATTTCTACATTTGTTCATATTTCACATTGCGACAAAACTACAATAAGCCAATATTCACATTGCGACACAAACTAAAACAAGCCAGTATTCACATTGCGACACAAACTAAAATAAGCCAGTATTCACATTGCAACACAAACTAAAATAAGCCAATATTCACATTGCGACACAAACTAAATTAAGCCAATATTCACATTGTGACACAAACTAAATTAAGCCAATATTCACATTGTGACACAATCTAAAATAAGCCAATATTCACATTGCTGACACAAACTAAATTAAGCCAATATTCACATTGTGACACAATCTAAAATAAGCCAATATTCAAATTGCGACACAAACTAAATTAAGCCAGTATTCACATTGTGACACAATCTAAAATAAGCCAATATTCAAATTGCGACACAAACTAAATTAAGCCAGTATTCACATTGTGACACAATCTAAA